CTTAAAAAGGGTTCAATAATGACTGAATGTGTTCAAAGGAAACTAATAGTGAACACTGTAAAAGCACTGATAAACAAAAATGACCAGGAAACTCAAATAAAACTCCTGGGCTGCAATTAAAGAATGCAAAAAGATTTGGATGGAAAATGAAAGATGTTTTTCATGAAATTGAAGGATCAACCAAAAGTACAGAATAATTTTAACCAAGTAAATAAAAATGAACTGGGTATAAATTGACAAAATGAACATTCTATTCTATTTTACAATTAACTTAGTAAACTGGTCACAAGTGTTTTGTTTTTGCTTTTGGGGCGACTTCACATTAGCATATTTTATGTGTAATATTCTTCTGTAACTGTTGTACATTTCCCCAGGTGAGTCAAGTAGGAAACCAATGTGTTAATATATATAGATAGCAAATTATGAATAAAGACATATTAGATGATGCTAAATAATATATAGTTTGAAATACTACTTTTCTTTTAAACAAATTCTAATTACAGTTTTTATAATTTATTCCAATATTTAGTATTCTTTAGCCTTTCTTCCAAAACAGATCTGTCTGAAGATTATGGAAAAGAACGGATACTATATAAGGTATTAAAAAAAAACTACAATCAATTTATAGCAATCAACTGTTTTAAATGTATTTTCTACAAAAAAAATTTTCAATAATAAATTTGATATGCCCCTTGTAGAATTTCCACTATGCTATACAAGTATAATATTTCTAGTTGAAGGGAACGTCAAACCCTTTCAACATTATAAACAGCATGACCCATTGAACAGATCTCACTGCCACTGAATGAGAACAGCAATTTGATAATAAACAGGACAATTGCTAACTATATTATTTTTCCCATTCTCAAGAAATCACTTTATTTTTTTTATTTTTTACTTCATTCTTACAGACCTAAAGAGAAGATCAGTAAGTAAACAATATATTTTTCAACCTTCAATGTTTATCTTTTAAATGAAGCATCATTTGTTTTAAGGCAAATACTTTGTTGGTTCAATTTTGAAACATTTGTTGTAATTACAAACATTTAAGATTATCAGATTTAACCTCATGAGTCATAGTGTTTTCAGCTTTTCAATAATCCCAAAATGCTAAGCAATCATTTAACAAAATCTTAAAGTTTACATTTCATTATGATGCAAAAAAATATAAGATCTTGGAGCCTTCCAGCTGTACAATTAATTGGACAACTGTTAATTATTTTAGGAAGGAGATACAAGAAAAGAACACTTAATTTCAGGTTCACAATCTTTAGTTTTGAAATAAATAAATAAATAATCATTTCAAGTCAATATAGTCACTTTTTACTCAAACAAATGATTATATAATTGCTAATAACATCAACTGGCAAAAAATATAGATATAGATTTGGATCAAATGCTTTTGCCACACAAAAATGACAGTGAAAGCAACAAAAGAAGACTGAAGAAGACAATATGATCTCTACCTGTTGCATTATTGGTCTCACAAAAAAAATAAAAGAAAAAAAGTGGAGGGTTAAATTTTTACATTTTTTTTTAACGGTAGTTACCTTGAACCATTTTTTTTTTTAACAGTACTGATTATCAAAGGTAAATTGCTTTTCAAAACCAGGAAAGACCCACATTTATGTGCATAAAGGCCATTAAAGAAAACAGAGGTACATTCTGGAAATCTGAATGCATTGCCATTCGAAAATAAATACAATTTTTTAACAAAACTAATGATTTTTCTCGGTCAATATAAAAGTGTTTATTTTCTTAGAAAAAAAAGTAGAGTTAAAATTACATACAAACTGTTATTTTAAAATATGAAATGTTTTATTTAAAGTTTTGGAGAGAGAGAGATATATTGTAATTTTCAAGAAATCTGACGTTGGTGAAATTTCCCTAGCATTTCATAAAATACGGCTCAAAAGGTCACTTATGGGATGAAGGAGTGTCTTCATTACGGAAGTTGTTCATGTCACAGATACACGAATATATTTCATCATTATTATTTAGTCCTCATCGATGATTAACAAACATATATGAGATGACATGCATGCGGCAAAGAAGCCATATGAAAATACTACTACAGAACGTTGTTAATTTTAGCAGATTTAAAACGCAATATAATACAACCGAGGCTTCTGGACAGTTCGGACAGAAGAAACTTGCAAGGCAGTAACTGACGTGTTAATTAAAAAATGTACAATTTCTTGTGAAAAGTACTATAACTATTCTATTCTATAGTATTCAATTTTCAGAGTGAGAGATCAAAGTCAACATTTTTCTAAAATTTACCATTCTCGGATAAAACGTAAATCAAATGCATGGCAATTTTTTTACTTTACGTAATTATGAGGATCTATTATCCGAAGATAAAAATAAAACCTATAGTTTAACTTTTAAAAAAATAAAACCCCAAAACAAACTCCAAATAAAATAATGATGAGCTGGGTGGAAAATAACAATGAACACAGGGCAACAAGGCTACATACAGCTGGAAATTAGAACAGGATAGTGTTACTGTTTTATATACAGAAATCATGAACATATATTTTTACCGAGAAAAAAATAAAGAATACAGAAACAAAATTAAAAACAATTCAGGTAAAAAACCTACTGCCTATTTTCTTCTGACTATCAAACGATAAAAATAGAGTAAAATTGGGTTTTTTCCCCGTTAGGTAAGAAGAATAGTCAATCAATGTGGGTGGATGGATGGGATATTTTCCAAACAGAAAATTTCCTCTCTAGTTTCACATTGTTAATAATATGCTGTACTATAGTACAGGTCCGACAAGGAAGTCGAAAATCTAACTGTGCCGTTTTTATTAAGATAAAACTTAAAAATAAATATATATATATATATATATATATATATATCGGTCGGTCTTTAACCCCAAGATTTAGAATTACAAGTCACGTGATCGAACATGCTTCTCTACAACGCCATGAAGATTGTGCACAAGAGAATTTCTGCACTGCGACTGCTGCTGAATGTTGGTCGTTTCCGAAGATAATGACTAAATTTTAAATTATTTTATTAATTTACTTATAATAACCCTCAAAATACAACATGTAAATTTTCATAACTAACTTACAATTAGACAGAAAAGAAAACATTTAAAACAAAAATAAAAGTATGCGTTTTTTTGTTTGAGTTGGTAAACATAACAAGCAAACATTTCCATCTTTACCTTTTGTTTTTGAGAAGCATTAACGTACAAGGCAAGAACTTATTTATTTTATAAACAAGCTTGAGAAGCATTCAGTCACTTCAACAATTCTTAACGGGAAACCATATAAACATATGAAAGATTTCCATTTATCATATGTATTATTTAGCAGATGACAAAAAAATATTCCAACTGCAATACATTAATTTTATTTTTATTTACTATTAAAAAAAGAACAATAATTTCAGAGTAATTAAAAACGAATTAAAATAAAGAAAAGTGTAGAGTAGATCGATGTTTTTTTTTTTTTTTTTTAGTCTAAGATTAAAAAATAAATTAAAACACTAGTCACTAATTATTCTGATTTTTACATTACACTGCAAACTGCATGTATGAAATTCCTCGTTACGTTAGAAAAAATAAAAATGCTATTGACAACTCGCAATTATTCGCCAAATAAAAAATTTATACAAAACTTCCCAAGATAAAAAGATACAGGAAGCACTTTTTTTAATTATTTTTTTTTTTTTTTGGGGGGGGTCATTTGTATTTTTTCCCGGTGGGGCTGGAAAGATTTTTAGTTCATTTCATAGTCACTACCTCTACAGGAAATCAAACATTTTTTTTTATCACATAAAAGTGAGAAATTAAAATAAACATTTTTTTATTTGACAAACGAAACCTGACGGAAAACAATCACGTGATCTTACCAACTATTTGACACAATTTTTTTTGTAAATAATAAATCCAATCAAAGTAATTCTACTTTATAAATAAAATAACACCTAATAAATAATATCTTTATTTCACAATACAATACAACGGTAAGAAAAAAATGCTTTTCAGAAAAATGAAGACTGGGGAAAAATCGATTGCTACAAAAAAATAAATAAAATGTCAATTAACAAGCGAAAAGAAAATTTGATGATAACGAAAAAGCATCTTTTCGCGTGTTGTTTACATTTTCTTTTGGAAAACATCAAACTAGATGATCTTTTTTTTTGTTTATCAACGTAACACATAAATAAAAATGCGAAAATAAGTTTTTAAAGAAAAAAATGTTATGATACAAAAAAAAAAAAAACTGATTGAGTTTGAGCTGCTTCCATATTTTTTTTATATTTTATTAACCAAGCTCGAATTACTCAATTTTAATTTTTACTGTTTTAGTTCTGTAACAAGAACTTAAATAGAAGCTCTCATAAATAAATCCCATATTGATGGAACCAGAGAAAACGTGAAAAAAAAAATCATGATAAATAACAAAACACTAGTAAACAATTCTGAACTTACTTGCATTATTATTATTTACATTCATTACTCGGACTGAAAAACACTCATTAACGTGAAACTATCAAGAACATAAAAAAGGAAAAACAAAGGTTATTTGTAGCAACTAATACTACGAATAGTCCTTGTCTGAAAATTTAGGCAGCATTCAAAATAAGAAAAAAAAAGTAGGCAAGTAAAATTTCATTTAAAAAAAGAGAGGGGGGGATAATTTACTCGCCTGACAGCATCAAGAAGCGTGTTTGGTCACGTGATCACCATAAAACGTACTGTAGACAAGCTTACAAAAACTTTCTATTCCATGTGATTTTCAATTATTATTATTTTTTTTTTCAGGGCAGTTTCTACCCATCTTAAACTGCTACAGAAATTGATGCTATATAAAGAATACTGATATGTTAAGATCATTTTTGTTCTTTTTACTTCACATGACACAAGAAAAAAACTAAGAAAAGAAAATATAAAAAACAATTATAGTCAGTGTAGCTGCAATTATTGTATTATTTAAGAAGATAAGGTTATGTAAAAAAAAAAAAAAAAAACACTCACTGGTCGATTGTGTGAACAGGGGGCTCCATGGATGATGAGGAGGATGTTGCTGCAACTGCATGATTACTCGCAGCAGCTGATGAGCCTCCTCCATCGTCACTATTGCCATTACTGTCAGCATCGTCATCGTCATTGTTGTTAATTTCGTCGCAGTTCACATTGTTGCTATGATGGCTGTTATTCACATTGTTATTGGGGGGCATAGTGGTTGGCCACTCGATCTGGCAGCCAGAGGGACGAAGTGTGAAGCATTGTGTGTTCTTGTTTGTGGCTACCACATGGAGCAGTTTGAGACAGTCCCTCACCTGATTGATATTGTGCGAGTCAAAGACAATTTCTGTCTGTCGGACAAAGCGGCCGCATCGGGCCGCCAGGAATTTAGATCTTCGTCGGCGGACAGCCGAGCCGAGCTCTAGGACGAGCCGCGGCCACAAAGACGGGTGGAAGAGGCAACAGCGCCAGCGTTTGCACACCGTGCTGGCACGGATCCTGTCCTCAAGCGAAAGATACGAAAGAATGTCGACCACCAGGATACTGGGCAAAAATGCCCAGGTTGCATTGCTGTTGTGATGGTGGTGGTTGTTACTGTTATTATTATTGTTGTTTGTTCCTGTTGTGGTTGTTGTACTAGGGATGGTTGGACCCGCTGCCATCTTGGCTAGGCGCTCCGGCTTGGCGCGGCGGCTTACATTTGCTCACGTCACAGTCACGTGTTCTCGTGACGTCACTGTGACGTAAAAGATACGACTGCTGCTGTTTTCATGTTGTTAGTCTGGAACTAAAAACTAACATTGTGCTAATCAAAGACAAAAATTATGAAGAAAATATTGTAATAGCAAGAAGATTTATGGAAAAAAACCCAAAATGAACAATAAAAGAAGGTTTTAATTATGCCCATTATCTTTCTGACCTTAACACTTCTATTAAATCTTTTCCTGCCGTCATCATAAAGACAATTTCCCTTCAAAGATACATCTTATCCTTAAGTTTCTTACCATACTGGGAAGCATTTGAAACTGAAAAATTAGACAAGTTTCATTTGAGGAAAAAGTGCCACTTTCCTGCAACAATCTGAGGGTCAAGCAAATGAGAAAATAATTTATATTGTTTTAAATATGGAATAAGCTAGAAGAGAAAAACAAAGTAAAAAAAAAAGTGATATATAAACTAGTTTTGTATTTCAAAATCAAAAGAAAAGTAAGAATTTTATCAAGCTGAAAGAGATGCTTGATGATAATTTTAAAAAAGAAACATTAGCTATTGGAAAAGGAAAAATCAATAACTGCACAAGCCAAAAATTATAGCTTTTATAGATCTAAGATACAAAACCCCTTTTTGCACTAGTCTAAAATCAATTTTTCTCACACTAGAGTGTGTTAATAAGTTTGATAGTGCATGAAATAGAATTGGAAGCATCTTGGCCTCCAGTATTTGCTCTAAGCTCTACCTCTGAATCCAATGCATGATTAGTTATTAATAATTTAATACATATCCATGTTTTTCTCTCACAATTATTGAAGTTCTGTTCATAAATGTCAAAGAATTCATATACCTTATTTTAAAATTAATTATTGTGTCAAATGGAACAATGTATTTCAAGAGCTTTAAGCCCAAGCCCATCTTGGTAACATCAGTTGCAATCAAATATGAATAATAAAAAAAAGCAAAATTCTCACACATTTATTGATAGAAAGCAGGCTAAAATTAAGAAAATGGTTGTGAAAACTGGTAGCCTGAAAATGAAATTACTGAAATATTTCTTTCCAGACTACTAATATTTGATATTTACTGTTAACATTTTTAGAAATATCAAATACAAATAACTGTCATTGATTTGAATATTTGGATTAGCATAGATTCAACCGAATTCAGAAAAAAAGCAAAATTTAAATAAGGCATTAAAGGAGAAGCTACACTAGAAAGAAAACTTATTGTGGGTCTATATATATATATTGTAAGAAAATCTGGTTTGTAAAATTCAGGAATTCCACATAACGAAATTTTATTTTTATTTCTGTATTTTGTAGATTAGACAGTTTTTTTTAAATTTCTGTACAACATTTTCATATGTACACACACACACACACAAAGATATAATAACCTCATGTGAACAGCACAATGCTTTCTAAACATATCTGGGAGATTAAAAACAAAAATATCATGGAAAATAAGGAAAGCAATATCAACCAACAATAATCAATTCAAAAGCTGTAAACTTTGCCTGAAGGAAAAAATAGCTATAATTACCTTCCTAGACCAAAACAAACTACTAAATAAATGATTAGAACTCATCTCAAAATACAGATGTAAAAAATTTTTACTATGTTACTTAAAAAATGAAAACTGTAAATGAACAAGAATAAAGGAAAATAAATGAATAAAATAAAATAAAATAAATAAACAAAAGCAAGCAAAATAAGTAAATCCAAACAAATAAATAAACTAAGTAAATAATAAACAAATTAACAAACCACTTATGTACAGATAAACACAAGAAAATGTAGTATTAACAACCAACTATAAAATAATTAATAAAAATAAAAAGTTATCTAACAACACTATAAATAGCCAATTCCCACTCAATAGCTCCTAGTATAACTTGAAACACAACCATTACTGCCTACCAAAACAACCATTAGAATAATACAACAGACCTATATATATATATATATATATATATATATATATATATATATATATATATATATATATAGAGAGAGAGAGAGAGAGAGAGAGAGAGAGAGAGGGGTAAGTAATGCATTGTGGGTAGTCTGTTGTATTATTCTAATTCTCTCTCTCTCTCTCTCTATATATATATATATATATATATATACAGAAAGAGGGAGAGAGAGAGAGAGTTAACTGTGTCTTTTTGCAGTTATTATTGTTATAGGAATGTGATTTACCAAAGTGCATACTTATTTCTCTATTTTTGTCAACTGTTGTGGCATACCAGTAACAAAGCATTTTTGTCAAGAAACATAGTGATGAGACAAAGCAAAGGTCTGTGGGTTCACATCAAACAGCCTCATTCAGAATTTCAACTCAGTTTGCTAATATTGTTTTCTATTCTGATAAATGTTACATGAACTCACACGTGGGAAATTCAGTATGGAGTAATGGTTAGTGTGCCTAATCTGATTGATTATAACTACTGAGTTTGTGAGTTCAATCCTCAATAGGGTGTCCCATAAAAATTTTGACATTAAATAAATCAGCAAGGGTTGACAGATTCTAAAACCGACCAACCAACAACCTCTATGCATGCCACACATACATACACCACACCATAGACCAGCATATACAACTAGTATATACAACTATATACTCTAGTAAATTTCATATCTTCTTTCATTTAATTAACTCTTATTAAACTAGGATGCTGAAACTGTTAACACATCAGTATATGGCATCCAGCATTTTGGAGAAGTGGGTACCTAAAGTTTCAAATTTGCCAGCTCAAAGATTACTAATAGATAATATTAGACAAAAAGAGCTAAAATCTTAAGGAAACATGCAATAATGGATTAATTTCATTATTATTATTATTATTATTATTATTATTATTATTGAATATATGATAAAACCCTAAGTGAGCTAGTAAATTAATTTTGAAAAAGCATACAACTTTCAATTTTTAGATGATTCTTTGATATCCAGAGGATGGCCCCAAAATTTTGACCTCTAAGATATATATATATATATTATATTATTATGAATTGTAGGAAATCTGTCTTCGTCCACAATAAAGAAGAGTAGGTAAAAAATTCTGATAACTTTGACATTTCTATGGGATCATTGGATTCTGCAACATCTTCTGATCTCGTTGGTTTATATATTTTGTACTGTTACATGTTGATAATTGTAACAAAGGAAAAAAAATGATTTACCATAACACAGAGCTAAATCACAAACGAATATTTAATTTACTAAAACACAACATAAAATATATACAAAATAAACAATTGTGGCCTACAAAAACAGAAAACACAGAGTTACTGGCAAAGTGTCACGAGGGAGAAGGAAAGGGAGTCAAATATCTTTATCACTTTAGGGCTAGTGAAGTAATCTAAGTGCTATATTTGGAAATCCACAAAGGTGTGTAAATAAATAGTAATTTTTAGTTTGGTCAATGAAAATTAGTAAAAATTCTATTTACCAAATTTGTTCCATGAAATTCTCTTTTGGGTTTTTGTTGGTTGGCAACTTTTTATAGAGATTCTTTTGGCTGGATATATTAGTCCTTGAATCAAAAGCCGGAGTTGATAACAGCAGAAATTCCCATTCATCAACTGACAACCCTTTTCCAAAATCCCATTTTTATAGGGGCTAACACCTAATTTGTATATTTCTAGATGTTTCTCGAATCATATGAGGTTGAAGGGAGTTATTTCCTTCCCGTTTTCTTTTTAGGATTCGGCAATCAGATATGATGTGATTATCCTTCTTACAGTAGGCACAGGAAATTTTTGATTCTGTTGAAAGAGAACTTTTAGATGTATCATTTATTTTTTTGTGTATATAACTTCTCCAAGATACATTATGAGGGTGAGATTCCAACAGTGTATGTGTATTTATATGAAGGCCTAACTGATTTTCAGTTATATTAATTTTTTCAAAACTCTTTTTGTGAGTTAGACTATGGGTATCTGCGATTACCACGGCTTCGTTAACAGTTAACAATGAGATTATATCTTGTGTCTTTCTTGCTCTTTTTCTTTTTTTCCTTTTTTCACAGGAAAAGAGGTTACATGTAATTAAATCCTAATAATTGTAATAATCAGTCAATTACTAACACCTGATGAGATATGTTGATACACATTGAAACATCAGTGCATTTATGTAGCATTGTTTCTACATGTTCAAATAATAAAGAATGCTGCAATGTTATGAACGTTTGAATTTATATTCAATTCATTCTCATTTCATATATATATATATATATATATATATATATATATATATATATATATATATAGTGACTGAGTCAGTTAACACACATCGGTTTCTGTTTTAGTGTATATTATAATTTGTTCTCAATTACCTGGCACATTCTGTACATATAGAGAAAAATAAGAAGAAAATCTGCTGAAGTTTGGATATGAAAATCCATGAAACTCTGAGTACAGATTTATGCAAGTTTTAATTTATTACTAGTACACATATATGTGTGTGTGTGTAATCGCCGTAATTGCACTTTTATATAAGTTTCATTAAAAAACAACTGACAGGTACAGCAATTAAGTTTTTTATTTAATTCTTCTTGTATTTTTATAATTTCTTTCTTTTCTGGAAATAACTTATGTAGAAATTGTCTGAATGTTCTGTATGTCTGAGTGCTTTTGGTTATTCTTTTAGCCATTATCAAAGATGATTTTATTTTTACTTTTAATTTTTTATATATGTATCTAAAGTTATAAGAATGTTTTATTTTCCAAACACAGTCAGCACATTGTGGCTGTGTTCATAGTTTAAACTTTAGTAATGACTTTTTCCAGAGTGATGCTAGCTGTACATGAGATTCTAAATCCATTTTAGTTGTTGAAAATCCTTAGCTATTATAGTCTTTGTTATTTTGTACAGTTCTTTGTGATTCTGTAGCATCAGCCCATGAAGTTTGAAGAAGGGTGGTCTTCACTAAGGCCTGCAGATT